AAAAAAATAAAATTTTTAAATTTTCAAATAAAAAATAAGGGTTGATCGTAGAGGGGTGAAAAATTGAGAGTCATATGAGATTTTTTATTCTAAGTCATCACAAAATAAAAAAAAAATTTTTCCCAAAAAATTAAAGCTTATAATTAACAAATAAAAAATAGGGGTTGATCGTAGAGGGATGAAAAATTCAGAGTAATATAAAATTTTTCATTATATGTCATGACAAAATGAAAAAAAAATTCTTGCAAAAAAAATAAAATTTTTTAATTACCAAATAAAAAATAAGGGTTGATCGTAGAGGGCTGAAAATTAAGGGTTGCATGTATTTTTGTATGATGTATCATAAAAAAATAAAAACAAAAAATTTTGTCTGAAAAATAAAAACAAAAATTTAGGGGTGGACCACCCTTAACATTTAGGGGTATGAAAAATAGATGTTGTTCGATCCTCCCCCCTGGCTAGTATCCTCGCTAAGGATCACGAAAATTGGTCGAGCCGTTTCGGAGGAGTTCGATAACAAACACCGTGACACAAGAATTTTATATATTAGATAGGGAAGGGGGGGGGGCAAAATGGGGTACTTAAGCAATCGTTATGATTTTAAGGACTAAATACGATGATTTTTCTCGTTTTCAGTCGTAAGTAAAGAAAAATAATCAAATTTCCAGTTGCCGTAGATTTTGCCCCCCCCCCTCCCCTATATAATTATATATTGCCAAAACTCATACATAATTATATATAATGATTTATATTTAATTATATAAAATTATATATAATGTTTTTTCCCCGGGATGTGATTAATTAATAAGTCTATTGTTTTATTCATGTTTATAGTAGGAGACGATGCAGATGAATTTGCCCAGCTACATTGAAAAAGTAAAACCACCAACGATTATTGAGAAACTAGAAGAAGAACCCGAGAAGAAATCCAAAGAAGAGTAACCTCAGGAGAAAAAACGTCCTTTTGTGCAAGATTTGCTATATTTATGTAATGGGGGTGGTGTTTCTGCCTTGCGGACATATGGTGGCTTGTACTAGGTGCGCGGCGAGTGTGACTTCTTGTCCGGTGTGTAGAGCGTCCGTCAATATGACAGTACGTGCTGTAATACCTTAGTACCTTTACATCACCCCTATTCATTATATCCTAAAATTATTATCTATGTAAAAATTTTTAAATTTAAAATAAAGATATTTAAACTTAATAGTAATTGAAAGTTATTTGAAAAAATTAAATTTAATCAAATGAAATTACCGTGTGAGTCATGACGTCTTGTATGCGGGTAAAATATGCGGGTAAAATTCAAATGCCAATTTGAAATATAATCTTCTTTTGATGTGAAGAACTAATGAATAATATATATACATGAGAATTAAACTTGCAGTAATGCATTGTTCGTAAGATAATGATAGTCCAGGATCCACCGTAAATTTTTGAAGTTGATTACTATCAAGCTAACTTTTTGTGTGTAGCTTCATAGTGATAAGACGCCCAACAATTGCCTATAAGCAAGCCTTGACTGTGGGACCTAACAGAGATAGCAAGGATACCGTTTATCGATTAGATGGTTCTCAAATATTTATTACTAACTTAATTTTTTTTTTTTTAATCTTAAGATAATTATCTAATTTACTCGAAAAATCATTTGTCCGACAAAATCTATGGTTCGATCGATGAGTCCCCCCTTATCAACATGTATTGATAACCAGGTCATCATAAGTTATTACTAATCAGCTAATTTTTTTTTTTTTTTACTTATTTAACATATATACAAATTAACCATCACATTGTCCTACAAGTTGCGTGGTACGTTATCCCGGTCCTACGCTCAGAAATTGTTAATACCACAAGACCACTTTTGTCATTACTAACTGTAGGACAAAAATATTTTATAATAGGTTAGAGTGTTCTCTGCCCAAATGAAACAATGTCCTACAAAAAAACAGGTACGTATCGCTAGTCCGACAAGAAAAGTCATTTTTTTAGAAAACGACGATTTTTCTCTCCTAGTAACTTCTCAGCCGTACTAACTTGTATCCGGGTCAAATGTTGTTTTAATAGTTTTAATAACAAATTCATTTTATGTTTGTTATTAACTAACATATTTATTATTATAGTTTTTAGAAAAAATTTTGTTTATGGTCGTTATTAATTAACACCTAAGTTTATAAAGATCGTGTTGTCAGCATGCTAAATCTTTTATTTATGTTTTTTAATTATCCTAAATAATTTATAGTCAAATTTATAAACAATACTGTTTCTAAGGTTGAAATAATATAAAAGTCTTTTTAATAAACAACTTCATGGACACATTTTGTACTTGTCCCACCAGTTACAATAAAAAATTTTTTTAATTGTTTCTACGTAGGTAATCAGTCTAATTCTTCATAATATTAAATGTTTTTTGGATAAATTTTGCATTGAGAGGGAAATATTTTTTAAAAGTTTAGTGGACGAACTGAAATTCGATTTTAAGTATACCGCGGTAAGAGAGAAGGATTTTTCGATGTACCACCAGTCACACTCAGTCAAATGATAATTACGAGAAACTTAAAGAGTTATCGAGGTTTTTGACAAAGGAATATTGTTAATTAGTTATTCTGCTATATGATAAAATTACGTAAATGATGTAATAATAAATAATCAATCAATAAATAAATAACAATATTATTAATAGGGTACCTTGCATGTCAGACGATAATTCTTCAAAAGATGGACTTTGAGGACCATCAAACCAATAATATTCATATTTGCCATCAATTATTGTCCATCCAAAATTTTCTGGCAATTTTTCCATGGGATACCGCATGTGTGCATTACACCATACATTACAGATGAATACAGTTCTTTTAATTTGTTGCAATAATTCTTGTTTTGTTGGTGGCAAACTGGAAGGATCATATCCTACGATTTTTCGTTTTAAAATTTCTTCACTTTCATTTTTGGATTTATACCCTTTTTCAAACAACTCATACCGTCCTCTATTGATGTCATTTTTTGTTTTTAATGAATATACTCTGCATACATACTCTTCAATAATTTCCCTGATTAAAAAAAAGTATTGAACCTATGCAACTGTATATCTATTTTGTATGTATATATAGATATACAGTATGTGAAAAGTATTGAAAAAGTATTGAATTACATACTTTTTTAATACTTTTCAATACTTTTTTTTAATCAGGGTTTAACTACCTCATTCGATGTTGTTAATGCTGAATTTTCAATCCGTAGGAGTTTAATAAAAGCTTCTTGAAAATTTTCATTTTTCATTAAAATACTAGATGGTCTCTTTTTTCCTTTACGGAAAAAAGCAGGATTGTAATCATTCCCTCTAAAACTATGGCATATGGCGAGTGAACAAGATAATTGATCTCCAAGCTTGGCATAAATTTCGTTTATGTTCAAGTACATTTTTTTTTACTCATGCTGTAATTAATTATTATTTCAATGTTATCTTTTAAATGCTTAAAATTTTCCAACATTATTATTGGTATATCAGAATCTGCACAATGTATCTCCACACGATAGTTAGTATTTAATTGACAAATGTGGTATACAATTTTGGTTGAAGCTTCTTCATGATAACAAGAGAGGTTATAGTCAATGACTCTTTTTATTTTATTTTCACTAGACACCTCGTAAGAGTAACATTGATCATAATTGAATTTAATAGTCTTTCCTGTAATCAATGTAATAAATTCGTCCCTTGTCCAATCTTCAATTAAAAATTCTACAAATTTTTCTTTAAAGTTGTTGCTCCTCAATAATTTGCAGAAATCAGCAGGACGATTATTGTCTTTACGTATTACGTCATACTGTGTGTCCTCTTCACCTCTCAGATCATCATGTCCAAAATCATTAATACTGGGTTTTTTGTAGTTGTCAAATATAATATGTACTTCTTTTCTATTATATGTCAGCATTTTTAATGTATGCATCGAGATTTTACCGTATTTGCTGGGAAGGTTCTTCAACGTATGTAATAAATGAAATCCATCAACTAAGTGAATGTGTGCCTCTGGAGGATTTACTATTTCATTTTGATATTCTAATAGTTCATTAATAACCACAGATTTGAAGGTCTTGCAAATTGTTCCATTCGTATGACAAAGTGAAAATGGAATAGGAGCTAGAGAATAACTTGATGCTTTTTCTATGTCAATTTTATTTGTTAGTGACGCATAGAGTAGACGACCAAAAACATCTCTTTGCATCTTAACTTCTTTCATTTTTCCATTAATTTTTACTTTTTGCGTATTTTTATAATCAAAATTAATTATTTTATTTTTGGTAATGGCTTTATCAAACCTATCTGGTGTTACTCGAGTCTCTGCAATGAAATTTTTTTGTTTTTCACCCTCGATTTCAACTGATGATAAAAATTTATATATTTCATCGTTCACTGACTGACCTTTCGAAATATTGTAAAGATGATCTTCTGATAGTTCTGGTGCAAAAGGGTTGGTGTTCTGCTTCATTAGTTGCATCATTACTTCTAAGTTTTTCGTAGATTTATTAATTGTTGACTTTTTTAAATCTTTCGTAATATCATCTGTTGATTTCATATTACAAAATTCCATCATTTTACACTTATATAACTCTTGTACGTAGTGAATGAGTGATTGACCATTTTTGTCTCACAGAGAACGAATTTGTGATGTTAATAATTCCAGAAGCTCTAGAAGCAGCATCAGCATTGATCGTTTGTTCAAGCGTTAAATCAACTGGAATTCTTAAAAACGGTTTCATTGTTCTTCGAATGCCCAGGAAACTCTTTTGACAATCATCAAGCAATCCAGGATGTGTAGTTTCAATATTTATCAACTTATCCCAATAAATAGACATATACCTTGCATAGTTATGGTGATTCATTGAAAAAAAAACATTTGTTATTTTTGGTAAAGTATGTACAAACAAATTAAAGTCACCTATACGAATACTATATTCTAATTGAAGATAATATTCAACTAATCTTGTGTACATTAAATAAATTTGAGGTGTTTTACCATGCCTTCCATTTAAAGTTTCATTTTTATATTCTTCATATTCATTAAATAATATTTTTAAATTCTCATTAGTTATTTGTGGGTCATCATTCTGTTGTTCATTAAATATTTCTAAGTATTCTTTAATATTGTCCACGTATCGATTATGTTGTTGTAAAAACCTTTCCAAATGCAAAATCTGCAAAGCAAGAGGATAAATTGCAAGTTGAGGATAAATTTTTCTGCATCGATTATAGTGTTTTCCACTTAAAAACGAACTGATAGAACCACTGGCCAAAATTTTGCTATCTATGAGAATATTTGTTAACCCAGATCCACTTATAAATTTTCCGATGGCTTTCATGAATGATAACATTATATGGACCCGGGAAAAAATCATCATGCATGAACATGTACGATCAGGCGTTAATGTCATGCATGATCATGCATGTATATTTGCCAGACATGAGCTTGTATGGTCATGCATGACCAAGCATCATCAGAACTAATCAGTCATGATCATACTTTTCCATGCCTGGCAAACGCGGGAAAAATGACCATGCCTGATCAGTCATGAGCAGGTATGATCAGACGTGAACAGGTATGTTCATGTCTGACTGAATCAGGTCCATAAAAAAAAAAAATGGTGCCTAGAGGGGGATTCGAACCATAGACGTTTCGCTCTCTAGACTCATCCTTTACCTGCTGACCCAACGGCTCCTCTTGACTTTGGAACATCTTTCAAACTACTTTAAGTAATTTAAATTTTATACATAACTTATAGTTAACGGAGTTCTATACCTAATTTATTAATTATTAATAATTATTTAATAATAATTTATTTGGGACGGCTGTGTATTTTTTTCGCTCCATTAACATATCGTTCTAAGTACAGAAAAAAAAAATTTCTTCAAGTTTAATTCCGTAATTGTAATTTTATTTTCTTCTTTTAATTTTGAAGTTTTTTTATTTAAAATCGATAGGAAACTTAAAATTGTTTGTGTGTTCTACAATTTAGCAGCATTTGATACTACCGCAATGGACCAAAGCGTAGCTTGATAACAAACATCTTGAAAGGACTTATCGCCTATCGATATCAACTGGTATATTTTGGTATTTGCACGCTATCAAAATTTTACAAGATAATTTTGTTTTTCATGTATTCAATGGAACACATTAAAAATTTTGCGTCATTGCAATGATTAAACAAAATGATTTGATATGATTAAAAATGATTAATTTTTTAATCCTGTCAAATCATATAAATCATTTCAAATCATATCTCTTATGGGCATTTAACATTGTGAAATCATTTTGTTTAATAAGGTGTTAAAAAATTTGTATGTTGAAATTTTACATTATTATGTGTTAATTTAACACTTATTTGTGTCAATTCTATTGAATCAACACGAAAAGGTGTTAAACATTTAACATAAAAATTTTTAACACTAAATTTTTTTGACGAAATGACGCAAAATTTTATACTGTGAATGGTTGCTGGGACAGAAAAACTGAACTCAACTTTTTTGAAGAAAAATGAATTATGTGCGAAGAAAAAATATCAGTATATCAAATAAAACATTTTACAAAAGAATTTGAGAAATTGTATTATATAACTATATAAATATTTTTTTTGTGCGCTTGAAAGTAAAATCATTGAAAGAAGTTCTTCAGTTCAAATGATTATTTGATAAATAATTGTTTAAAAATCATCGTTTTGGCATGGAAAATCAAAAAGTTTATGCTTAAGCTGAAATTTTTTATGAAAGTTGTACATTTAAAATTTATAAGGGGATAAAAACTGATACGTCATACGGAACAAATTAATTTTCAAAATAGAACTGCAGTCTATAGTTCGATAAAATTTTCTCTCCAGACTGAAAATAACATTTAAGAAGGCTAATCATGCATAAACAGGTCTTATCAGGCCTAAACATATTTATTAATTCAAGCATAATATACACCCAGGTCTGATCAGGCCTGAGCGTATTTAACACTTCAGACATGAACAGTCATGAACAGACATGGACAGGTATGATCAGGCCTGAGCGTATTTAACGCTTCAGACATGAACAGGCACGATCAAATCTAATTTCAGGCCTGATCATACTCGAACAGGCATGGTAAGGTCTGATCATTTTCTTCCGGGAAATATTCATGACAGATCATGCATGACCAAGCATAATCAGAACTAAGCAGTCATGATCATGCTTTTCCA